GACAGTGGCAATGAATAATTTACACTCTAAATGTTCTGGCTCATTAATTTGCTGACACAAAAGATAAGCATTCATTTACAGCTGTACACACACACACACACACACACACACACACACACACACACACACAATCCTATTAGTGTACTTGTTTGGTAAGACAAGTGAGTGAGATTAGAAGGAAAACAATCTAGAATGTGCGACGCTTCTGGAAGGGAAGGGTTGTCCGGCTGTATGCCATGGCCGAGGGGGCACCTAAGTACACTGGCCATGCTTTCCACACTTCAGGGAAGCTTGTTCCATGTCTGCCCCCACCTCATTGTCCCCACCAGGACAGGGCACTGGATGGATCTTCTGGAAGTCACTTAATAGACTCTGAAGTGATGTAGAAAGATCCAAGAATAATCAAGGAAATGGGGCTATTTGGATACAGGATAAATTTTCTGTTGACTGGAGAGGAATTCAATGAATGCAGTACAAAAGAAGATCTAATGAATGACCAAGATAGTTCTATTTATGTAGCCCGTTTCTGGTCCAAAATAGTCTAATTAACGTTTTAGTTTGTTGCAATTTTACCTACATTTCATATACATCCATAATTTTGAGTCGTGCAACACTTTGATACAAGTAAAGAAAGAAATATCTAGAACAGTCCTTCCCAGCCTGGGGTACCTAGATGTTCTTGGACTACAATGGCCAGTAATCCTGGCCAGCACAACGGATGGTGAAGGCTTTGGGACCAAGCTTGAGAATTCTTTATCTAGAACAGTAGTTTCCGACCTGGCTTCCTTAGATGCTCTTGGACTGCAACTGACAGATGTCTTGTCCAGCATGGCTAGTGGTGGAGGCTTCTGGGAGTCTTACTTACTTAATGCTTACTTATAAGGCCCTAAACGGTTTAGGACCTCGATATTTGGCGGAACGCCTCCTCCCACCAAGGTCTACCTGGATCACCCGCACGAGTCAGGAGGTGAGGCTGAGGAGCCTGACGCCGAGAGAGGCCCGGAAGGAGAAGACACGAAACCGGGCCTTCTCGGCGGTGGCTCCTCGCCTCTGGAACAATCTCCCTCCGGCGATTCGCGCGGCCCCCACGCTGGGCACCTTTAAAACCCAATTAAAAACATGGCTGTTTATTCAGGCCTTCCCTCCAGCCAACTCTTGATTTTTTTCTTACTTTTCCTTTTTATCTTTACTGCTGTTCTTGTTTGATTATTATGTATTTGTCTATGTTTTATTATTTGATTTTATATTTGGAAGCCGCCTAGAGTGGTCCGGTGGGCCAGATAGGCGGGGTATAAATTAAATAAATAAATAAATAAATAATCCAAGAACATCTGGTGACCTATGGTGGGGATCCACTGATCTAGAGTGCAAATTATAGCTAGCAATGACAATTCACTCTCCCCCATCCCCTTACACCTCCGTGTAATGACAGGAAGAGTACTTTCAAGGAGATGGAAAAACCTGGCAGTGACCTGAGCCAGCCTCAGTGGTTGAAAGGTCTAGAGTAGACCTTGGTTTTTATTGAAGGATGCAGTCATCACTCTGTCTATTCAGTTTCTGTTTTCCTAATTATCATCACTGGGTGACTTTGGCTAAAAATCATTTTACATCATTTGTGTTGGGTGAAATATGCAAGATCTGGGGTAGGGGGCAAGGAGTTTGCTCCATCACATGGCTGAGTCGCAGCTCTTCCTCCCGCCCTTGACAGTTGTTCAAGAATCACCACTAGATTTATTTTTTTCTCTTTTTCTCCCATCTCGAAGGATTGTTTATTGTTGTCAATTGTTATTATATTTTAATTGTTTTATTCCACTTGTTGTGAGCCACCCAGAGTAGTCAAAGGCTAGATGGGTGGGATATAAGTGTAATAAATGAATGGATGGATGGATGGATGGATGGATGGATGGATGGATGGATGGATGGATGAATGAATGAATGAATGAATGAATGAATGAATGAATGAATAGGAATGGCAGCAATGCTGTTACTTCTGAAGACAGTCCATAACCTTGCTTTTTAATATTGAAGTCCTCTGCTATGAACAGATTTTTGGACACCAAACTGTACCACATTAAAGATGTGAACATTGCTCTCTGGGTGTGGATTTCCTTTGAGAAAGTGAGTAATTAAGTTGTTTAGATGACCTGTGGCTGCAGGGAGGATACGATTCAGCTAATGAAATGGGAGTTTCCATTCTGTGGGCGAGAAATGGAACCTGAGGTGCATTCAGAAGACATGACGACATTAATTTCTGCTGCTACCTCGTCGTTGCTCTTCCGGGCCATCCAATTAGAACTAATAGCAACCCTAATGATAATAACAACAATAACAGCAGGCAGCAGGAGAGCTCCGTGGTTTAGCTCAGCTTATCTGGGTGCAGAGCAAAGGGTGGGGAGTTTGATTCCCCCACCGTGCCTCCTGCAACAGGAGCCAGCCTGGGTAGCCTGGGGCAAACTGCACATTCTTATAGTAATAGTGTGCTTGTCAAGTCAATGCTGGCCTATGGTGACCATTCCCAGGGTTTCCCGGGTACAGAGTATTTAGAATGGGATTAACATTCCCTTCTTTTGGGACCATCCCACTGAGCCCTCCAGCCATGCTTCCTCCTTAAGAAGAGGACTATCAGAAATCTGAAAGGAATTTATCTTTGAATAATGAAGCATAGCTTCGTGAACTTCTTCATCATCATCCTAATCTTAGAACTGCAGAGCTGGGAGGGACCCTATGGGTCATTGAGTCCAGCCCCTTGTCAAGAAGGCACAGTGGGGGAATCGAACTCCCAACCCCTTGTTCCTCAGCTGGATACCTAAATCACTGAGACAGCCAGCATTCTGGACTTATTTTGGATCTAGGTTGGCTGTTGCGATGGGCACTTGCCCTTCCAAATTTATTGCCACCCTGCCATTTGTGTTTCTGGAAGATCTGCTGCTCCAGATTTACCTTCTTCCACCCAACTCCGTGGACCAAGTGGAAGAGAACGCCAAAAAGATTTCGAATGGCTGCCACAATGAAGATGTATTGTTATTATTATTATTATTTATTGTATTTATACCCCGCCTATCCAGTCATTTCGACCACTTCTGTAGAAGATTAACTCATCCCAACTCTGGGAGGCAGTGGAAGACAGGAGGGCCTGGCATGCTCTGGTCCATGAGGTCAAGAAGAGTTGGACATGACTAAACAACTAAACAACAACAACAAGAAGTTGCTTTTCCAAGCAAACAACTGTATGAGACAATGGATGGGTAGTCCTACAACACACGACAAAACAGATAATGGATGGGCATTCTGGAGGACATTCTAAGAAGGAATATCTGTCTTGCTCTTCCTTTATACTCTAAAAGCAAAACTTTTGGGGTGGAAGAAAATGATGCTTCAGTGACCAGGATGTTTTGGAAACCTGGTCACCAGGGATGAAGGTAAATGGGCAAAAAAATCACAAGAAGGTAGGTTAAAATGATGCAAGAGAAACTTTACTGAAAAAGAGGAAGAGTTGACATTAACCGCGGCACAAGAGACAGTGAAGAGGACCTCTATGGATCAGCAGAGCGTGGTCTTGTGAATGCCAACGTTGGTGGTTCCTCAACTGTGCACAGTGGCAACCTGGGGTGTCATCTAACCTAGCCAGAGGGATCACAAAATCCTCTCTTCCTTTGCCACTGCCCCGTTCTCCCTCTCCTTGGTTGCTGGTCTCCCTGCGTGCCAGCAGGGATTCTGCCTAAAACCCTGCTTGGACCCAGATGCAGACCTCGGCGTGAGCCACGCATCTGTCCCTGCATGTCTGCCTTGACTGCACGAGAAGAGCCAGCAGTGGCCATGGTTGCCTTTTTGCATCAGGGAAGATCCAGGATGGGTCAAGGGAGCTGCGAGTGGGGAAAAAAATGTGGGATGGACTGGGCAAAGAGAAGGGAGAAAAGGGGAGAGAGCACAAGGTCAACACCAAGTTCCTCAACACGTTGGTAACCATGCCTAGAATCATCAGCAGTTGATCTTTCTCATCTCTCCAAATCTCAGTTCTTCTTAATGTCCACAAACCATGGTTTCATCATTTTACAGGCGTGCGCTACCACAGTTGGGAGAGACAGACTCGTTGACAAGGTAGCCCATCCTACCGAAATGTCTGAGCCCAAAGCCTCCATAAAAGTTTACTGCCAACCCTGAACCCCCATCAGGGCGTGAGACAGGGACTCTGACAGCAACGGTTCAAAGCTTGAAGACATGATGATGGTTATATTGAAAGAGCAGGGGTTGGACTGTAGTTTTTCATGGAAGGAGCTGGTTGAAGCTTTGTGGGTGTCTGCCTTGAAGGACATCAAGGCTGGTGGTGGATACACTGCCTTCGAAACCAAGTTATTATCAAGCAGAGCTATGCAAACTCAACCTGGCACACAAGGCATGACTGCTTTCTGTGAATTCATACATTTGTGCCTGTTTCACGTGCATTGTTTTTAAAAAATAGAGGTGTCCCACACCATACCAAGAGTTGTACTTAAGAGCACACTGAGTGAGAGATTTAGTGAATTTTCTTCCTCATCCTTAGGCAAAACATCTGTGCAAATACAGAAAGAGAGGGGGGAGAGAGAGAGAAAGAGCGAGGAGATGGCCTTAGTTATACTTTGGTGAAACTACCAGACAACACAACAGAGGCATGGGCTAGAATGCAAGATAGGCTTTATTGAATGCATGAGACATGAGTGGACAATAGCACTGAAGAAAACTACAGAGGTAAATAACATAAGAAGAAGTTACAGCAGAATTCTAGTGACTCATTTTTGTTACATCATGAATTTCAGAAGCTGAGATGGGAGAGGAGTGGAAAGGAAAGACGGCGAAGCTCTCGGAGAAAGTCCAGGCTTCAGGAATGGTCCTCAAGCTCAGCTTCTCCGAAGGCAGGAAGAAAATAAGCGTTCAGCAATGGGTCCGTATCATCTTGGAACATCCAGGGGTCTTCCGAGTATCACACAGGTTTCGTTGGTCTAGGCGCGCACGTTGCCATAGGGCTACAGGCAGATGCTTCCACGTTGTCCGAAAAAGCTACCCCTCCTATTGCACAAGCCCTTGGAACCAAGGAGCCCAGAATTGAACCCCCCATATCCGAAAAAGCCATCCCTCCCATGGTTGTAGCCACTGAAACCAAGGAGCCCAGAACTGAGCCCCCCATATCCCAAACCCCCATATCCCAAGCCTTGCCCATAACCGGGCACAGCACAGGGAGAGTAGCCTCCGACCTGAACGCCTTCAGGGCTTGCACACAAGATGGGCCCTGGAATGGTTGCTTGGAACGGAGGAGGATGGATTGTGACCTCGCTTGCTGGGTTCTGGACGATGCAAGCAGGGTGGACCCCTTGAAGCACTCCGAGACTAGCGGCGGAGACGGTGCCCCCGTAGCCGCTGCCAATGGAACCCAAGCCCCCAAGGCCTAAGGCGCCCCCGAAGCCACGGTTGTCAGATCCAAAGCCAACGCTGGGGGTGGCAGCGCAGGAAGGGATGGCGTTGGATGGTCCACAGATAGGCATGGCTGAGCGAGGGAGGTCAATCTGAAACACAAAGTCGGAGAAATTAGAGAGGGAATCTGATGTCCTGCAACTGAAGTGGATTATGTCTATAAATTCCAATGTCAATCTAGAAGCTTATACAAGGACCACAATTTTTGGCACTGTATTATATGTATTTTAAAACTGGATTTTGCTGCACTTTGCAGGGTACACCAGAAGTTGTTTTCTTTGGCAAAATTTTGACCTCAGCACAACCAGCTGATAGGGATGTGTAATTTTTATTTTTTGCACTCTTAACTTCCAGAATTTTCCAATAATTCCTCAGGCAGAATTTTGGGTATTCCAGCCCAGAGATCACACCTACAGATACCTGTACATTGCTTACCTGAATCAGAGCCTATCTCCCAAGTCTGCATGGCTGTCTTCAGACTTGTTTTGTGTTGTTGATGCTCAAAAAAAGGAAGCTGCTGTGAAATGTACTGAGAGTTGTAGTTCTTCAGAAGACACCCTCTATAGATCCTGAAGAACATCAAGCTGCAACTGTGATTGGTTGTGTATCCTTTAACCTTTCACAATATTTTATGTTTGGTCAAGAATTTAGGATTCTGAATCTGCATTTTTTTAAAAAAAGTAAGATTATTTTTTAAAAAATAAGCTAGCTAGAAGGAAAAGCTGGATGAACCTAAAGGGTTGAGGAAGAGGCAATAAATAGGATTGCTAGTGATCAAGGCCATTGCTTCTGTGTTGTGTTTGTGTACATATACCAGTGCCGTTACAAAATTGAAAAAGCAATTCATTGGTTGGCAAGAAAGCATAAGGAGAAAGCAGGCAAAAATAACATGAACCCCCTTTCATATAAGTAGTTCTCATGCCAAATGCCCAGTTGCTGTTTAAACTTGGCAGCTAAGTTGCCAGACATGAAAGATTTGGGGTGGATAACATGTAAAATAAATCTTCATAAAATCTCCATATTCTCATATTTGCCTCTAGATAGACATTCAAACATAATTAGTAGGAAGTATTTAAATTTCACAAAAGGCAAGGGCAGCAAACTAATTTTTCATCCAAATCTCATTAAAAATAAATAAAAATCAGTTAATATATACGCAGTTGTATTTCACTCTATACAGTATCTCTTGAGTTGTAATAATATAAAAATGCAAGAAATGAGTGTGATTTGTGGGATCTTTTAATTAGCTCTTTCCCCCACTTCTGATTATAGTTTCCTTGTCTTGTGATTGCTCACTCACCATGCCCTCTAAAGATTTCAAGAGGGGTTGCTATGTTACTCTAAAGCAGCAAAAACTATTGTCTTGCCATAATAAACATGTTTGAGATCCATAAAACACTTCACTGCCATTTTTAGGCAGCAAATAAGTAAGAATGTAAGTTTGTACTAGAGTTCCAAAAGTTTGACGGGATGTTAATCCTAAACAAGTGAAAGGCAAATCTGTGACTAAACTCCCCTTCCTTTATCAGTTTCTATTTAAGTCTTCCTCTAAAATTAATAAAGGGATGCATAGATCTGTCAGGAAATGGTGCAATGGAGGTGTGAGGACTTGAGAATAGTGCTGAGAGAAGAGAGACAAGGAGGATGGTAAGGGGTGGGATGGATGGATGGATGGGTGGGTGGGTGGGTGGGTGGGTGGGTGGATGACTCTCTCAATTGAAGGAAGGAAGAAAATAATTTAAAGGGTTTTTTATTTAAAATCTTCAGCCATATCATAAAGAAGACAAACATAAGAATCCTGAAAATCACCATTGAGTATTTCTGTCAACATTTCCACCCTTGGATTTCGTTTGAAAAAGGTTCTCATTTCTCTAAGTGAAAATAGTGAAAATCATCCTGAGATAAAATTCCAGCCCCCCCGAATAAACCAGAGACACAGCTTATCTAATTAGGTGGTACAATTCCATTATCTATCTTCTCTGTTTGCTTGGAAGTACCAGACTCACAATTCCACAAGTGATTTAAGAGCATGTGGGAGACCTGATGACCCTTCAGCTTCTTTTGTGACACTGCTCTCTCCCTCAGGCTTTAATTAGCCAGCCATTTTTGATATTCTCCATTCCCCCAAATTACTTTAATCTGCAGCGTGCCAGAGACAGCATTTTGCCGTCTCTGCAGAATGCGGCTTCTATGCCTCTCCCGAGACTTTGATCCTCACCTTTTCTTTCATTTGAAAGAAATCAGTTAAATATTATAAATGTTGATCCTCAACTTTTTCTTTCATTTGAGCCCATTGGTTGGTTTACTCCTTTTCCCTCATGCCGATCAACAGGAAATCTGGACTCGTTCATCACAGTCTGTCTATTCAAATGACCTCTGCTGATCTTTGTCTCATCACCATTCATGTCTACACAGCGGAATTGTACAACATCTTCCATATGGCAGCCGTTTTCGCTGCCTATCTTGCGAGGAATCCATCCCAGAAAACAGCGGGGAGCCATTTTGTTTACCCAGTGGACATTTTGAAACCGCCTATCAGCTGTTTTGAAATCATCGTTTTGTGAAGAATCGGTTCCCGAAGCAGGGAACTGATCATCGCAAAGTGAAAAAAAACCATTTAGACCAATTGCAATTGTAAAAAGATTGTCGTAATGCGGTTTTGTCGCAATGCGGGGCAATCGTAAAGCGAGGCACGACCATACTTGAATGAGCAGGGGACATGAATCAGTTCTACTCCTTGTTTCCTTTAATTTGTGGGAAGATCTGTTCAACCCCTCAACTGGACTTTTGTCCGGATGTGACCTAACCAGGCTCAGCACCATGAAATACACGTGTGGCTTGGAATGTCCTAATGCTGATGCATCCATTTTCATGGTCTCTTAGAATTCATAACAACATGTATAATAATGAAAAAGAGGACTGGAGAGTTTTGATGACGGCCATCAACACTGTCAGAGTGTCTGTGGTTTTTTTTTTAATGTCATTTAAAATTAAACCACTTGACTTGAAGCAACCTACAATGGAAGGGGGAGAGAGAGAGATTAAATTCATTCCCCATGTTTCCAACTAATTAAATCTGCCACCTCAAACATAGTGCTTTGTGTGGGAATTCTAAACTTTGAAAAGAGAAAGGTCAGCAGTTAAGAAGGATGATTGCCAAAAGAGGCGGTCTCTATGCTAAGGTGGAGGTTTCTCAAACGGTATAAAAGCTTGTCTTCTTCTCTGGAAATCCAACAGCTTCACCTGACTCTCCTTTCAGCTCTACAGCTTCTCTTTGGAACAGGTAAGTCCATCATCCTTGGGCTATTCCCAGGCTTGTCCAATCATCACATTGGCCTAGAGCTAGTTGGGGGGCAAGGGTCTAGCCAGCTTGGGAAGACTTAGGTCTCTACAGGCATGAGGTCTGTAAGTTCTCTCAAAACCAAGATCTGCTTTGGAAAACGGGCAAACACCTATGGCTACCTTATGTCAGCCCACCACCGAGAGCCAACGAGGAGACGCCGGGAAATCTGGCCTTTGTTCTGCTTCCGCCGGACTGTTCTCTCCTTCTTCAGGCCTTTTAACTCTCTTTCCTTACTTGATCATTCTGTTGAAGATAGACGAGAGCACAAAACCTGAGGGTAAGAAGGTAGTCTTGGCTTGTTTTTGATGAGGTTTTCACCATATACCTATCTGTTATGGGTAGAGACCTGAGATTAAAAACATTCCATTCTGATTCTAAAGAGAGTGGTAGAGTAGATGCAGAGACAGAGAGGGAGAGAGAGGGAGAGAGACTCTCTCTCTCTCTCTCTCTCTCTCTCTCTCTCTCTCCCAC